TAATATCTGTATTATAGAACATGAATCGTCACGGGACCTTTGGTTGGTTTGGTTTTCTTTATATTTGTTTCATATAGAAATTAGGAACGTATGAAACAAAGATTCGATAGATAAAAATTTGATATTTTTGTTTTAAATAAAATATTTAGTACACGACTGTTTTACCAAAAATGTACTGGAAAATTTATCGAAATACATAACACATTTAAAAACGGAACGAATAGATTAAATAAGAAAAAAAAAAAAAAACAAATACAAAAAAAAAAAAAAAAAAAAAAAAAAAAAAAAAAAAAAAAAAAAAAAAAAAAAAAAAAAAAAAAAAAAAAAAAAAAAAAAAAAAAAAAAAAAAAAAAGAAAAAAAAAAAAAAAAAAAAAAAAAAAAAAAAAAAAAAAAAAAAAAAAAAAAAAAAAAAAAAAAAAAAAAAAAAAAAAAAAAAAAAAAAAAAAAAAAAATATAATATATAAAAAAAAAAATAAATTTTTTTAAAAAAATATTTTTGTTGGGTTGAAAAAAAAAAAAATAAAAAAAAAAAAAAAAAAAAAAAAAAAAAATATTTTTGGGGGGTAAAAAAAAAAAAAAAAAAAAAAAAAAAGGGGGGGTTTTTTTTTTTTTTTTTAATTTTTTTAAATTTTTACCTTTTGTCAAAATAAAATGATGAAATTTTCCTTTAGTAGGTTATTTTTTTATTATTGGCATCTGCATTTAATCTGCTTTAAGTTAAACTGTAATATAAGTCTAGCACAAAGAGCCTGTGTTAAAATAAAATGGTAAATTTATTCATGATTAAATTACGGCCGCCCTGTCTCACTCTGCCTTGATTTGTCTTGCCCTGCCTGCTGTGTACATGTAGAAAACTCTTCTTTTAGAAGAGCCAGTAGATATAGCTTAGTGTTATCTTGCATTAATTTGATTAAATAATAATATAATATAGTTTCAGAAACTTCTTAGTGTAACTTAGTCTTACATATAACATAATCCACTTCCATGATATGTTTTAGTAAGGTATATAAAATTTACGTACGAACTGCGACTAAATCTCGGCGGCCGCGACGTAAAAAAATTAGACATAAGACATTACCAGTGATAGAACTGCATCCAATAAATAATATAACTGACGCGACGAGGGAAACGATGTTTTGTGTTATAATCAGAGCAATACTCAAATAGATCTAAAATGGTTGTGGTAGAAGGGTAAAAGTTAAGAGCATACAATAAAATATAAAATTGGGGTGTGCCTGATCACTTCTCTCTCTTCAGTCGGTAGCTCATGTCTTAGCGTCGTGGTCAGCAAGGAAACATCTGGAGCGGACCATCTGTTTCCACCGGTTTTACACAGCGCCTCTTTTAATACCGTATACAGTTTTAAGGACGATGAGTCTTTCACTTGATCGGTCTATCTTGTTGGTGAATGGCCACGTGATCTTTTTGTCTGTGTTACCAACCACGATTAGTTACTTCAAGTTCTCATCGCCTCTGCGCATCACTTCTACGCCTGATCACTCACGGATATACAAAAGTTAAGGATCTATTCTCAGACCTAACATATATATAACAAACTAACGAATATACACAAAAAATTCCTAACAATTAATCAAGCCATTTCGGAGATTGGTTACAAACACTGTGACACAATGTCATATGCTATGGTATGGTATCTACTGTATTCTCTATGAAATAAAATATTATACCTAAATAACCGAATATTTACTATATTCGAGCAGTTTAATATTTACTGAAGAAAATATTTAGCGGATTACTAGTAATTTGTGTATTGATCTGAAAATTTTAGAATACTCACTCAAATCTAGAAGGTTCTATATTGGTAAGCATCAAAAACAAAGAATATAACAATAACTGCAAAATTACTTAAAATATTTATTTTAATTTGAATTACAAGGAACAGGTATAACAAAATATTAAGTTAAAGTAAGAAATTAATGTAAATGACTCGAGTTATACTGTTTTTAATTCTAGTGTAAGTACCTACTGCATTTATTCTGTGGTAAGTTCCACTTTTCACGATTTTCTCTTGCGTTACGTAAGTGAAAGGGCTAGGGGACTAGAAGGTTCGCTAGACTAACTAGAAACTGGAATTTATAATTTCATAAACGTTTATATTTATTGGAAAGTTGACACCGTTTGACTGCTTTGTTAGAAATCTTGAATTATAAAATGCTATTATTATTATGAAAAACATGGTTATAGATATTGATATACGGACGATATCTTATAAATAAATTTAAAATAGACTACAATATTCATGTATTATGTTGTTGAACAAATCCGAAAAAATATGTTTAATAAGTATAGTATATTCTCGAAATGGTAACGTTTTTATTATTCGGTGGAAAAATACCATACATATGATTTAATGATATTAAACACATTTTTAAAAATTAATAGAGGTTTTAATTGAATACTTTTCCTAAAACAACTTTCCGAACGAAGTCGGTGGAAACTAAACATGCAAGCTTGTTTAATAAATTGGAGTAACAAACAGTAATAGTATAACTTACATAAACAGTATTGACCCAGAACTTGAGAGAAAGGTCTCCACTCTCCGGCAACACTCGGCCGCCGCGTGCAAGACAAAAATTTGCTTTTTTACAAAATTAACTGTAAATTATATTATTATCTATTTACGATTAATTTAACTTGACGATTCAAAAGTGTACTTGGTTACCTACTTGAATAAAGATATTTTGAGTTTGAGTTTGAGTTTGAACAATGATTATATCATTCGGTTTGTTTTATTGGAACTCTTATGTGAATTTATTGTGAATCACATTTAGTAGCTCTTGCTAGTACTGAAACCATGCAAAATTTATCAATGTTTTCCAGGCAGGTAAGAAAAATGGTAAAAAAATCGAATGCCGAAATGTCACTTATATCAGTTATATCCCATTATGGGCTTTGTTCAAAATAAATCAAGCGCTTGATCAAAACGCAACTTTTATATCTAACAAAATCGGTCCCAATTGTTAGTTAACTTGTTTTCGATAAATTTTGTTAAATTAAAACAAATAAATAAACATTCTATAAGGTTAATTATTAAAACGGATTTAATATATGTCGTACTACTGGCTTCTCTGTTTTGCTTTTACACTAGAAGTTATATTATTGTCTCTTACTGTAGAAGAAGCTACTAAGACCTGTTTCTAATTCTTTTGCCTTTTTAATTAAGATTACTCAGTAAATAGTTATTTTATAAAAGTTAAATGAGAGAATTCTAGATACGTATATAAGTACGATGCAGGTACGTGTAAATTCGTTTCATTTCGTCAATTTAAATTTATTCAGTTAACGTCATAACGTTAATCGTTATCAACCATTAATCGTTAAAGCGCCACCTGTAAATTTTAATAGTGAGCTATGATGTTATTCTGATCCATGCTGATTGTTGAATGCTTTTCATGACAAGAGGTGGCGCTATTATAAATATATTGAACATATAATCAACGCAATTTAAAATTGTTTTATGTATTTAACTTAAATAAAGGTAAATAAGATTTATCACAATAATTATTACATGTTTTTAGTAGTTTCCTGTAAAAATATTGTTTGTTGTAAAAAAAAATTGCCAGGTTAGTGAATAAGCAATGTTGATTTATTTTTCATCTGGCATCCCTAACCAGGTCAATCAAATCTAGGAAGTGCAGGGATTTTTTGCGGAAAAATTATTTTAAATATATTTTCAATGAACTTAGATTATGTTACTGACCATCGCTGCCGAATTTCTTTAAAAATGATTCCAAGATAAGTGTATGTAATGTGCTATATAAGTGTATGCTTTAAAATGATAAGAAAAACAGGTGTGCCGATATAATAATAGCGCAAAGACCTTTAAAATGTAAATCTCTTTCATTTTACATATAAAGCAAGAAATGTGCCGTGTAATATCAATATGTTACAAAGCATATACTTTGGAGGCGTTTGAATATAAATGTTGATGTTGAGTGTGACCCACTTATGTACGTATAGGTGGGCTGACCTCCGAATGCGGACTTTGTGAAATGTTATTTTTAGCAGCTTTGCAGATTATTAAATATTTATAAACTTACTTCGCAATGCACATTTGGAGATGGATAATTGCAGATAAACATCTTCTGATCTGCGTATATAGAAAATAGGTAAGTTTTCTTTGTATTTTTATTTCGCTAATGCTATAAATATCTTTGTTCTATTTCCATCATGTCAGTTAAGTATTAATTTATCTTTAGAATAGTTCAAGGAGTACTTAATTTTGATGAATCATTATTCCAAGGAAGTAAATATATTTTTATGGTACTGTGACCTATTGAACTTGCCTAGACATTATAATATCTTACCATGGTTATTTGAACAAATAAACAATAATTAATTCTTAAACTTTTATTCATTAGAAAATATGAGGATTTTATTTATTTTGTTTTTTTTGAGTTATAATTATTTTTATTAATACTATATAGGTTAAGCAAATTGTAAATACTGTATATATTTGATTGTTGTTTAGTTACATGAATAAAAATATAGTTAATGAAACACATCACACACAAAGTTAATTTATTTATTTCAATTATTGGAGCTCAATGTGGGCTAAAATTTCACTAAATCCTGTTGTCATTTTTAATTTTCTTTGTTACTTTTTTTCTGATTTTATTATACCTCTTTACCTTCAACCCTGAATCTCAATCTGAAGCTGAGGTTAATAAATGATATTTAAAAAAAAATATAATTGGAGCAACAAAGGATTTTACAATATCTAAATATTTAAAAAACTTTCTTTCAGATCTAAAACTAATGTAGTTCAAGAAATCAGACAGTGAGCCAATCTTCCTAAAAGGGATCAATTTACCATAGATAACGAAAACAGTGATTTTACAATGTCAATACATTTTGGCAACGCTAAATGAATTCATTAGAATTTGTTAATAGATTTTGCATTATGGTCACTTAGTCTGTAGAATATAGAAAGTTTGTTGTGGGCCTTATGGCCTAAGGCCGCGTTCACACGGCAGTGATGAAGAAGCAAAATGTACGCACGCTATCGTTAATTGTGTGTACATTTACTTATTTACTTGTTGGTGCCGCTGTCTTTGATGCACTTGAATCTACCACTGAGAGAAATCGATTTGAAGTTTTACAAGGTAAGTCGTAATATCCATATCCTATGAGAAGTCCCTTTAAAATAGAGTTTGTCTTTGAAGTAAAATATACATAATATATCATTGTTTCAATGGGAATAAGACTCTGTATTACCAACTAAGCCCAGCCAGCCAGACAAAGCATATTAAGGTACATATAATACATTCCAGCCATAGAAGGCATGATTATACGCAAATACAATATATCAGAAGAGGACTTCCGTGTAATGGAAACTGTTGTTCTGAAGTCAGAGCCACATAAGGCCGGGCAGCAGTGGAAATTCACAGGAGCTTTCTACTATGCTACTACAGTGTTGACTACTATCGGTGAGTGAGTTTAATTGATGAATGAGATGAATTTTTCGATTAAAAAGTGAAAACTAGTTTGATAGTGTACATGTGACTTTACTGTATTGTGTGAAAGTTGAGTTTGCAATGCAACTTGCATTATGTTTTTAATTAGTGCTAATGAAGGCTTCATATATTTTCAAGAGCTTCATCTCACAGGCGTCTTAATTGCGCTTTAAAATACAAATGTGGAATTTTGAACAATGCACTTGAAGGTGATAGAAACAAATAGTTGTGGTTTTAAAAACATTTTACTACTTTTTTATTTCTGCACATAACAAAATATTTCTACAATGAAAGGGGTCTACTAATAATTTATATTAATAATTTTAATTCGTCAGCTGTAGCCATGCAGGATGCAAAAACAAATACAAAAGCATTTGTAGTTTTAAAAGTTAATTATTTTTTTCATATCGAATTGCATTTGATAAAAAAATATTACTTCATTTCGCATATTTTTAAAAAGATTGTGTAATGGGGTGGAAATTTACCACCTATATTTTAACTAATAGCTAAGAATGATATATCATTTACCATAGTACTATTTGCTAAAATATATTATATTTTTATTATATATATTCTAGGCTATGGACATTCAACACCTTCGACGATAGGTGGAAAGTTATTCACGATGTTTTACGCTATTGTGGGTATTCCACTTGGGCTGATCATGTTCCAGAGCATCGGTGAAAGGGTCAACAGACTTAGCAGGTAGATTATCTTGAATTTCTATAAATGTTGAATAAAAACAACTATTTTTAAGATGTTTTATATAAAAACATGTATACTTTTCAGCGTTATTATAAAATCGATAAAACGAGCAATGAACTGCCGTCAGACACAAGCCTCAGAGGTGGATCTCATATGCGTGGTCACAACTCTCTCTTCTTTAACGATAGCAGGCGGAGCCGCGGCATTCTCTAAGTTTGAGGGCTGGAGCTACTTCGACAGTGTGTATTATTGCTTCATCACGCTTACTACCATCGGTAAGTTTAAATGTTGGTTATTTCGACTATGTGTTTGCGTGTTGTTCCCACGAGAATGTAAGTGCGTGCTCCTATTTCACCATGCCTCCTGCTGATAGAGGCCAAATCTTTGTTTTTAATTTATGTTATTATTATTAATTACTTAAAATGTCACGTGGGACATGGTGTAATGGTTGCACTCCTTACAAACATTTTGTAAAACATAAAAAATGGCGATTAAAAAGAGTGGCGGAGAGTTTATTGCCAGTTCTTCTCTCCCGTTCTACGCCCTTGATTTGAGAACTGGTAGTAAATGTAAAATTAGAAGCATTAATATGTATTTCTTTACTGACGAGTCATAAGTGTACATTATGTTACCTATATGATTAAATGATTTTTTTTTTACTTTACTTTAAAGAAAGTGTATGATTTCTCATGACTGATTTAGACACAATAGTGACGGTCTACACAATACAATAATAAACAATTTGTCTAACTTGCTTTGTTCTATAACTCACGGACAATCTCCATTGCACTATCCATCTAGAATCGTGATACTAGGTGAAGAACAGAGCTTTACGTTTTCGGTAATTGTAAATATATAAAGGAATCTTTTTTTTTTTAAATAATAATAGCATGCCAATAACAAATACGATGCTGTAAATTACGATTAACTAATTTGAAATAATATTTTAAATCGTAAATAAATTCATTAATTAGGTGTTCTGACTGCCAATTTTCTAACTAGTGCTGTCGTTGATAGAGTCGCAATCGCAAATTATGTTTTCCCCGCTTCGGTCGACTACCGGATTGGTTGTGTTTATGATGCGTACATTGTTTAAATTCATTTTGAGATTTTGGAATTCAAAAGGTTTTTAAGTTTTTTGCAGACTCTGTATAACCATGCAGTGCCAACACTGCTCACACATACAACACAGAGTCTTAGGTTGGCCTATTGGCTTTAGCATGCAATGCTTATCCTTCAGGTCGTAGCTTCGAAACCTGGCTGTGCACCAATTGACTTTTTAGCACACACTCGCTCGTGCGGTGAAGGTAAAGATTCCGGAGCGTGCGATTGGAACCGATCGAGAGAGAGTGAGAAGGGCGAATTACCTTATAGAATTCTATATTTATTTTTAAAATTTCGTAAAGAGAATTTATGAAATATTAGTATTTTATATTTTATGCAAAATAAATTTAATGAAATCTCAAATGACGAATTGGAAATTAAAATGATTATCGAAGAAATAAATTAAAAAAATTAAATTTATTATTTGTATTAATTTTCGACACTTTTAATATTGTAATGACAATTAAATTTATTAAATTCCTAACATAATATCTTCCTTTTTCCCTCCCTCTAAGTCTCGGAAATCTAAAGTTTTAGATTTGTATAAATATGAACAAGACTAAAAAATTAGTTTCACCTAATTCGCTATATTCGGAGGAGGAATACGCGCCCAGCGTATGCATGTGTACTTTGTACGCACGCACTTTTTAAATATAGTGTTGAATACGTTTCAGGTTTTGGTGACATGGTCGCTCTTCAAAAGGACAACGCGCTAAACCGCAAGCCGTCCTACGTGATGTTTGCGCTGATTTTCATCCTTTTCGGCTTAGCCATTGTGGCGGCGTGCCTCAATCTCTTAGTGCTGAGATTTGTCACGATGAATACTGAGGATGAGAAGCGGGATCAACAGCAAGCTGAACAGGTTCGTGGACTTAAAATCTCTTGTAAAATGCTGATTTTAAATGAAATTAAGAATTTTTGTCTTTCTTTAATCTTTCATTTATTAACAGTTTAGGGAGCGTTTAAGTATTACGTCACGCAATTTTTGGAGATTATTGACACCCCCCCCATGTTACGCGCCGTAACGTTTTTTCTGTACCCAATAGTAAAAGGTTTCATGACCACCCAGTGATCTTTATATACCTTAAAGTAACCATTATGTGCTGTTAAGTACCGGAAAGTCGAAAATAATATTAACAATAACGCGTAATTCAATCCCCGCCCCGCATCGTAACGCCCCTAAAATACTTTACGTAATACTTGAACGCTCCCTTAGCATCGTGACTGATGAACGGAAAATTATTCTGGTTTTCCAGAAACTGCGTTAGTCTAAGTGCAGTCTCCAAAATTAAATTATTCGTTTTAGTTTTTTGAAGGGAAGTCAAAATTCAGTTCCAATTACATTACTATTAACTTTAATGTCTAAGTCACTTTGATTTGCTTAATTTTTAATAAGATTTTTTTTCTATTTGTTCATTGCTATAAAATTATATCGATTAGAATATACTGAAACGTGTTTTAACTTATTAAACGGTTATTTAAAAAAATTACGTTTTGAGAACTAGTTCTAATCAATAATATTCCAGGCGCAACAAGTGGCAGTTCGATTGGAAGGTGACGTAATAACAGCTGATGGTGACGTACTCAGGGGCGTGTCTCGCGGCACACGACTTCCCGCTACGCCGCGGATGATTACACCTGGTACTTTTCCTTGTACTTATCTCAATTGTAGATGCTGAAAACATTCTGATGCTGAAAATGTTGCTTCCCAGAAAGTACATAGATATATTTTTATGAGGTAGCATATCATTATAATTATTAAATTGCTCGTTCGAATGTCCATGCGTAGCGAAATTACATAATATATAATGAGTTTAGTTTATCTGTTGTGCTTTCAAAAAATAACTAAAAGTTACAAAAAATCTCTTTAATTTGATCTTACTTAATCTGGGGGCACGGCAGTGCGCTCGCCAAGTCAAGCAAAAAACTGTCATATACGATTTGTAATATTGATATGGTCATTATTGTTTGGTTAGCTACTTAATACCTTAAGACAGAAGATCCAAGACCAGAAGACTTGGTATTACATTGATAGGACAACTCTTTATGGTAGAACTGCGTTTGAAGATTTGGTTTTAGCCGGTTATGTTTTGGGTGTGCATAAGATTTACTTTTAAACAGTTCAGTCATGGATAAAAATTAGATTCTAGAATCATATACAAATCGTAACGAAGTATGTTCAAAATTAGTATTTCTAAGATTTGTTTGAATAATTGTTACAGGAGATTCGTCAATGATGCCGCTATATTCGGAGGAGGAATACGCGCCCAGCGTATGCAGTTGTACGTGCAATTGTTTCGGTCATAACTCGTAAGTCCAAATTTGTACTAAGTTTTTAAATATATACCTATGTGCTTGTAACTGTCTTTAATGTTTATTATCTTATGTTTGAATTGCTGTATTGTTTTATTTGTCATACATACACCTGTATTGTAAAGAAAAGACAATTTATTTATATAACAATTTTGAAAATACAAATTCAGTGCAAACTCTATGTAACGTCGCTCTATGTAACGACAAACCCCTTAAAGCGTCGAAACCAATTGGTTTTGTTTGGTTTAGCTTGTCTACCATACAATGATACACTTTACATAGCATTACACCCACCCTCAATAACGACAATTAAATAATAAAAGGCACTTTATAAGTTGCCGAAATTAGTTAAAACGGCGGAGCTGTGTACGTTCTTTTGTCTTTATTGTCCTAGCCCGTAATAAACTCGACTGTGGACATAATATGCGTTCTGAACTTTCTGAGCAATCCGTTCGTTTGTTTACAAATTGGGATTGCTTGCATGTACTTTATCACAAAGATGCCTCAATATTGCCAGATATAAATAAAATAAGTAAAAAAATACAACATATTTGCTGGTACAGCAAAAGCGTTAGCATAGTATACTAACACTAGTCTGAAATAAACTTAATCTTTTTCTGATACAGATTTTTCTACTTTCATTCATTTAACATCAAAATATGCACAGTCCCTTGAGTGTCGTTATAAAAAATTAATATTTTTATAAAAAAAAATTAATTTTTTATTTAAAAAAATTTAAAAATATAAAAAAAAAAAAAATTAAAAATAAAAAAAAAAAAAAAAAAAAAAAAATAATTATAATTTTAAATAAAAAATAAAAAAAAAAAAAAAAAAATTTAAAATTTTATTTATAAATAAAAAAAAAAAAAAAAAAAAAAAAAAAAACTTATAAAAAAAAAAAAAAAAAATAATAAAAAAAAAAAAAAAAAAAAAATTAATTAATTTTTTTATTATTTAAATATATTTTTTTTTTTTTTTTTTTAATTTTTAAAATTAATTAAAAAAAAAAAAAAATAATAAAAATTATTTATTTTTTTTTTTTTATAAAAAAATTTTTTTTTTTTTTTTTATTTTTTTTTATAATTATAAATAAAATATTTAAAATTATAAATATTTATTATATATTAAAAAAAAAAAAAAAAAAATAAATATTAATTTATTTAATTTATTAAAAAAAAAATATTAAAAAAAAAAAAAAAAAAAAAAAAAAAAAAAAAAATAAAAAAAAAAAAAAAAAAAAATAAAAAAAAAATTTTTCTCCCCCATTATTTATAAAAAAAAAAAATTTTTTTAAAAAAAAAAAAAAAAAAAATATAAAAATTTTTTTTTTTGAATTAAAAAAAAAAAATTTTAAATGTTTTAATTAAAAAAAAAAATTACTTTTAGGGTTTACACTGTATTTCTATTTGATATTCATAGCTTTTCAATTGTTTTAATGGACCATCAAAAATTTCAGATCGGTACCATACCGCGATCCACTATCACCATCAAACATGCGCCAAATACCGCGTTATAGAGGCAATATACCTCGTTATATCGAGAAATCTGCCTCAATATACAACTCACAAACCCTCCGCCTCCACTCCGCTTCCGGGTACCTCTATATGAACGCTAAGAACGAATTTACAATCGAGCCAGAAGATTTCCAAGAATTGGTCGCGAGACGGCGAGAACAATTGCGTAGGGGAATGAGAATGTGCCAATACAGCCCTCAAAGCTCATACACAAATATGCACGAACGAAGCAACGATCCATTGGTCGACGACTATTACTCGGAGAGAAGTAATTATGAGAAGAAAAAACTTAAGAAGAACATTGATAGAAATGTTCGACGTGAAAATTATTTCTACGACGAGGCAGTACTGCATTTCGACGATGAATACGCGTTCGATGGATCGATTATTTTTGCTAAAAGGAGAAAATCTATTGATAAGGACTTGTTATGCGATGCACGATTCCAGTCGGAGAAAGTGTCGATTGATAGCTTTGGATACTTTTTGAATGACACAGATTGCTTTGTTAATGATACTTTGACATTGAGTAGGCCCGCTCATCGGGCTAGTATCTGAAGATTCTGTTCTTAGTAACGTTTTGTTTAACTACAGTTTCTTAGTAAAATCTGATGTTAAATAAAACGTTACTCGTTGTCGTCCCAAATTCATTTTCAACCTTTTTTTATATTAATTTATGATTTTAAAACCCAAAATTATAATTTGTATATTTTTTGTCCTGTGTCTATAGAGATGGCAACTCAAAGCATGGATTCGAATCGTAAATCTAACAGTGCCAATTAAGTGAATATGATTTAAGTATCTTGCATAGTTAAGCGAATCAATGCTTACGTCGATTTGTCTGTGAATTTTTTATTAAATATCCATATTACACAAACATTAATTACCCACAGTTAGATTGTCATATTACACTGTTTTGTCTACTTCAAAGATCCACAAGATGGCGCTTAAATATATTTTTTGTTTTTTTAAAAATTTCTTCAAAATCTGTACTGCAGACTAATTATTGGACACATTCACATATAAATCGACTTAGGCAAATTAGTTAGTATTGAAAATGGGCCAACTAATTATAAAGACTCGATTTTCAAGTATAGTAATAATTTATTAATTATCTAAGTATTAAAAATTAAGAGCTTCGCGGTGTAGATATTGTATAGAAATGTGCTTCGCATTTTACTTTCTGCGGACATACTATATTTTCCTATAGCACCCTTCTACAGTACCCGGCCATTTATAAGTCGCATCGTCCTTTAGGAAGAGATACTCGGCTAGCTTCGGCTTCGTATAACGCCGTCTCTGTCTCCTAATAGATAACGGACTGTTAGTGTTTCGTGTGACAGAGATGACGCTCTACAAAGCGAGTATCTCTTTCTAAAGCACGATGCGACTTATAAATGGCCGGGTACTGTACTTCATAATAGTATCGTCGAGTATACGTAAATACGAAATTGTCACTTTCCATTCATGTATAGTCCTATTCGGACTATGTAAATTCGTGGTTCCGTTTAATTCTCAAGTATTTTTTAATCGACTATTTGATTTCACGTATTTTTAGTAGCGTGGCCATATTTCGAACTAATGAGACCCACAAACATTGCATTACCTCAAAATATTGTTTTTTTTTTAATTTTGAAAATGTCTTGGCTCGTATCATTAGACGTGCAGAAGTTGTAATCGCAGCTTAAAGATGCGCAGCTGCGTTCCAGATTTTTTAGTAAAAATTTTACATTATATATTCTAAAACTTACTTTATGCATTATTTTTATATCGTTACAGATAAGGAATTTTCTAACAGATTATAATAATTTGAAATACAGTTGAATTTCGTAGGGTTGCCAAACTAAAAATCTTCATATATACGTTTATTGTGTATGGTAAACAATAGTATGCCCGTAGATATCTGACTCCCTGGTTCCTTGACCACATTAGATATTACTAAATAAGTAAGAGCACGAAATCTTATCGCCAGTCTCAACAATACCCGTTATTAAAAACTTTCGAAACCAAACGAAATTGGTACAATGTTGGGATTGGCCAAAAGGAAATTGTTCTAGTCATAGGGACTGAGAATTTTGGTTAAGTCAACACAAATTTTTGTCCCTGAAAAAACGGTTTTTTTTTAAATATTTAATATTACAGTTTTAAATAATTTTTCGACTCACGTCAGGGTAGATTACGTAGTGTAAGATTCAAGAGCGAAGGAAAATGTTTATACTTCAATATTATGTTTAGGGCTTTTCTTTTTTTAGGACTACTCCATTCGATCGATCGTTAATCGATGTCATCGATCAACATCGGTCGACGTTGATCGATTGGTTTGGAAGCTTTAATTGATAGACGGATACCGGTCGACTAACCAATCGATCGATTGCCAGTCGATGGCATCGGTCGACGTAGACCGATTGACTCCGGCTATATTCCATCAGTTTCTTTCGAAATGTATTCACAAGAGGACGCGTTATCGATTGGTCTGGTAGAAACTATCGATCGACGTCGACTAATCCATTCTACCATCGATCGATGGCATCTACCGATCGATTGGTGTGGTAACACCCTTAGGTACTTGAACAGTGAGAGATTTGAGGGATATGACAATTAAAGAAAACTGAAATAAAAGTCGATTTTAATTTGGAAATTTATTTGAAGATGGTGATAGCTGCTGATGATATTTTCAGTTTGACTGAATTGTTTTTAAAGGTTTAACCATTATACGTGGTTCTGAAATATATTGAGGCCCGTATTCGAATCTAAAACTGAAAATTGCAGTAAGTATTCCTTGTTAAGTTATAAGTGATTTCTACTCTAACTCAAGATATATTTTAGTGTAACAGTAAGCCAAATTTCCAGTATTAAAATGTTAACGCTTACAAAAAGCGATTTTTTTAATGATATTAGTAAGGAATGTTGAATTAAATTGAAATTTCGATTTTTTAATTAGATGTTTTATCGTATTAAAATACGCGTAATTACTAAATTTTATTGATATGTGCCAATAAGATATTTTTTGAATGCGCCAACCTGATTTGTTATATTTTTATAACTTCTGTACTGTGATATTTTGCTTGTATTTTTTGTGTGTATAATTTTTGCTGTGATAAATATGCCAAATTGTATTTAATAAGATTTTTTTCCATATCGAAATGAGAGTTCATGCACTTGTATTGAAACGAAGTAAGTTTGTATTTGTTTGTGTTGGAAGCCTTTCTTTATTGTTTAAGAAGGAAGGACGTTTAAAGAATATTTTAATTAAATATCCTGATTGCTTCCAGAATGGTACCATTTGTATCCAATTTAATTTGAAATGAAAATGGTACATTCTTGTATGTTTTATTCAAAACATTCCACTTTTTTATTAGTATATGTAATGTGCCAAAATCATATTTCTAGGATAACAAACTAATTTAATTAATTTGTTTGGGTGGGTGTACATTCAATGACTTGCCAAAACCTTAATTAATTTTCCAACTCATTCTTATTTCAATTTTTTTTTTTTTAATTTTCATGAGTTGTCTCTAGTCATCAGACGCCCGGTTGTTCTATTTGATCGCAGGTTTAAGAGGTATTTTTAAATTGTTATTTATATCACTAAATGTGTTATTATTTATTCTAATCTAGATAGGATATAAAATCTATCAAAATTAAGAATTATAAATTTCTTGAGTGTACCCTCACTCATGTTATTTTATAATGTCAATGGTTAGTGAATAGTTGCCAATATCATGTGTGTTGACACAAATTAAGATCAAGGCGAACACTAAGATAGGTCTGTATATTAATAAAACCTTTGACTGCTAACTGATCTAGATAAAGTTGTAATTTATAACGAATTGTAAAATAAATCGGATTTCAATAAAAAATAATTTAAAATATACTGTTTTTAATATGTATATCCTAAAAAGCTTTTTATCTCAAGTAAGCCTTCTGACCCTGACACATGTCAATTTGCTAAGGCATGCCTGTTTCGAATCCTTTACCGTACGAATGTGCACAATGCACATTAAAGTTCATTGGTACACAGCAGTAGTTGTGGGTTGAAAGGCGCAAGGAGGGTTTTAAGGCAACACTTAATTTATTTCCTAAAGGCTAATATAATTAATTCATAAAGTTGGCCAAAACTTTTAATCATGTTAAAGCAGAAATTTGTCAGCCTCGTCATCATCATATTTTACAGGGCCCAAAGTGAATAGTTAAAGAAACTAACATAATAAGCTCAATTAAAGAAGCAGAATAAGACTTTTCAAGAGAATCATAATATGAAATGAAGTTAGTATTTTTTCTGACATAAAACATTACAACATAGGATTATTTATTATTATATTAAATTAATTTGTACAACGCGTCGAATTATTGTATTGCTTTTTGAAGTTATACTTCTTTAGGCGCGTTATGAAAAATTGATGAGAGTGAAATTTTAGGATGAGCGCGCACCATGACACAAAATTAACAGAATGAAGTTGCCCACGGAAGATGCTACGGCATTGGACGTAATTTAAAAACAACATTCGAATAATAATAGAATTTATGTTACACTGTAAAAGAATAATAATAAATATTTATTTATTTAATTTTTCAAATGTAAACTGAACTTTATTGACTACAATGACTCCTTTTCCAGTCTTTGATTATTTAATTGTAATTAATTATTTGCATGCAATCAAAAACTATTTTTAATAATGCCAAAGAAGTATAACTTCTTACGCGCGTACATAAGTACACGCACCCTTTTTTTTTAATCTAGCGACATCTATTTTGAATTTCATGATGAACCATCAGATTGAAATCTTCTATTTTTAGTTAGTTATTAAGCTTACACTAGATGGCGGTGTGGCAAATATTAGGGCTGGAATGTTATTATAACGAGTCGTCAATATATTATAATTACTAGCTGAGCCGGCAAACGTTGTTTTGGCATGTATATTAATTGTAGGAAACATTTTTTTAGTTCAATAAAAATAACTATCTACTATAATACAAAATAGGGGTTGATCGTAGAGGGGTGAAAATTAGGGGTTGTAAGTATTTTTGTACGCTGTATCATTAAAAAATAAAAACAAAAACAATTGTCCAAAAAATAAAAATAAAATATTTTGGGGTGGACACCCCTTATCACTTAGGGGTATGAAAAATAAATAGTAGCCGATTCTCAGACCTACTGAATATGCATATAAAATTTGATAAAAATTGGTCAAGCCGTTTCGGAGGAGTATGGGAACGAACATTGTGACACGAGAATTTTATACATTAGATTTTATTTGATTATTAATGATACGAGTCAAAATAAAATTTGACATTCACTTTAAACCATAAAATTTCGATATTTTATTGATTAGATCTGACACGAAAAAGTTTGCTCTTGTACTTAGGAGACCGATTGAACGATATTTTTTAAAATCTGCCGGCTCAGCTAGTAATTATAATATATGACGACTCGTTATAATAACATTCCAGCCCTAATATTTGCCACACCGCCATCTAGTGTAAGCTTAATAACTAACTAAAAATAGAAGATTTCAATCTGTGGTTCATCATGAAATTCAAAATAGATGTCGCTAGAT